AACCATCACCACCACAAGGCCATGAATATGTCCATCACCTCCCAAAGTTTCTCTCACCCCTTATTATTGCTTTTGTTTTCTGAGAACACGGAACATAAGCTCTAGGCTCTCAGAAATTGTAAGTTTACACTACAGGCTTAGCAGCTGCAGGCACTATGCTGCACGGTAGACCCAGGACTTATCCTGTGTCACTTCAACTTTGACCTCTGACTGTCCCTGCCCCTGGCAACCACCCTCCTACCCTCTGCTTCTCTGAGTTTGACTACTGTAAATTCCACATGTGAGTAAGATCCATGTAGCATCTGTCTTCTGGGTCTGGCTTATTTCACTTAGCATAATGCCAGTTGTGAAAAACCTTTACACACATATCTATACTAGAAAGGTAACTCTTCAGTGGGCCAGAAATTGCTAGAAGACAGCTAATGAAACTTAGTAAACCATGATTTTTTAAAAATGGAAACTATAAGGTTTTTCTTTAACAAAAGACTCTCCAGTATCTACCTCGTGTATCTCAAGGTTGGTGTGACAAGGGACCTTTAGGCAGGGCTGGCTGGACACCCAATCTGCGAGCTTCAGGGGTGCAGGGACAGGTGCCAGGGAATGAGCCGTTCTGGGCTCCCGGTGTCAACCCAAGGCTCCCTCCGCAAAATCACCCTCAGAAGCCCCACCTTCCTCAAAGCCAAGCGCAAGCACCCTGCCACCAGCTGCCCGCCTGACCCACCCCATGAGAAGCTTCCGGAGGGACACCCAGCTGGTGTTCGAGGCCTGCTCAACCGGGCTGAGTTCTCTGCTGGGACATGGGGGACATGGGGGACACAGCCTACCGGGAGGCCAACAGGAGACCGGCTGCTCCTGTTGGGTACTATGAACTCCATCACCCAACACTGGGGTGTGCACGTGAATCATTACTGCTGCCAAATGCAGCAGGAACCACATCCACTCATTCATTCATTCACCTCACCCCTATCTGACAATCGGGGGCTGGGTGATGACAGAGGCCAGAAGGACACCTCTGGCTCCTTGGCGCTTACTCCTGAGGAAGTCACCCCCCTCAGATTGACAGCCACACTGGGAGTAAGGCACAGTCCTGCCTGCAGGGCAACTCCAGGTCCACAGGGAGACTCTGTAGCCTGTGGGGACCTCTCCGGGTGGCCCGGGCCCCACTCGTGGCTCCAGCCCCACTCCCTCCTGCTCCCCTGACATCCTGCCAGGGATGCAGAGTGGGGACCTCCTACACCAGCTCAGGACCCAGCACCCACCGCTCGCCCAAGACTGGGGTCGCCTGGGCTCCTCCTCTCCTGTGGTTCAGGCCACACCCCTCACATCTTGCCTCAGGCTCCCTCTTGGGTGTCTTCTGAATTGGACTGTGCCAGACAGCCCCCTCTGCCCTCACAACCAGCAAGGCACTTCCTCACCTTCCGCCTCAGCTCTCGGCAGCCCAGCCCCGGGCTGGCAATCCAGCCACACCACACCTGAGAGCACAGATCGTCTTCTCCAGGACCCTGCTTGGAGCCTCCCACCAGTCACAGCTCCCTCCCACAGGCCCGCAAGACACCGCACTCACAAGGTCCACCTTACTTGATTCCCCGCCTTAGACCCCAAGCCCTGTCCCATTTGGCCCCACATCCCCAGGGCCTGGACTGGGACATAACACTCCCCTTGGGGAGCATTCAGGCGAGCATCAGTCAGACACACTGGACGGCTCCATGCCATGGCTCCATCAAGTGGTCCAGGGCCAGGAACACTCCTGAACAGGGAGGCCAGGCCATGGCTGCAGCCTCCGTGAGTCCCTCGATCCTATCTCAGCGGAGAGAGAAGGTGGGTCTGAGATCTACTCCTAGTCTGAATCTCACCCAGTCACAGAGGCCCATGTTAGGGCTACCTCCTAGGAGGGACAGACCCAGCCTCCCTCAGCCTCTGACCTCTAGGTCACTTGCTTCTGCTGAGGGTAGTTATCTATCCAAATCTACTGCCATGTCCTATCCGCAGTCCCCATCCCCTCAAGGAAGGGACCCCGTCCTGTGTTTCTGAGTCTCTCTCCAAAGGCCTCTCATGTGACAGGTACTCTGAGGCTGGAGAATGTCCAGCGTGTCTGACAGATACTTGCCCAAATGCTCCCAAAAGGGAGTGTCATGTCCCATGGGGATGCAGGCCCAGGGGATGCAGCGCCAAATGGGACAGAGCCTCCAGAAAGGGCCGAGAGAAACCACAGGCTGCCAAATAAAGGGTGCAGGCTTCCGGGCCAACAGGGAAGACCAGGCAGATGAGCTGGTCTCTGTCCCACCTGAGGGCCCATGGGATCACTATCCTATGTGGAGCGGAGAGGACAAGGAGGAGACTCGCACAGTCAGTGTTTCTGGAAGGCAAAAAGCAGATGAAGCCACACTGAGCAACAGACAGGACAAGGAAGCTGTCGCCCAGTGTCAGTGGCAGAGGCGCTGCGGGTCAGAGACACACAGGGCGAGGATCTGAAGGCCTGAGTGCGGCCTGGACAGGCCCAGAGGGTAGCAGTGAGGATGAATTCTGAGAAGGAAGGGGATGGAGGGAAGCTGGTGGCGGGCCCAAGCTTCTCTCTGGGTGGCAGGGTGTTCTGGAATTCGACAGGGAAGGAATGAATGTGAAGGCTGCACTGCACAACTATGTGAATATTCCAAGAACACTAACTGTTCACATTAAAAGGGTGGATTTTGTGAAGTGTGAATTATATCTCAGTCAAGCAGTTATTAAAAAAAAAAGGAGTCAGCCAAACAGCTGTGTTTGAAACAACAGTCCTGGGGAAGGCTTCGCTCCTGCCGACCCTACCTGGGCACAGGCAGCCTCAGATGGTTCCATGTCCTGGGAGCCAAGCTAACTGTCCGGGGAGAGCTGAAGCTGACAGCTACAACTGGACCCCTTTCCTGAGCAAAGCTCCCCTTGCTTAGGGAACTTGGAGGCCTGTGAGCCAGAGAACACCTATCACAGATCCCCCCCAGCACTCCCACCTGGAGCAAGTGGACATCAGCTGGAGACCACAAGAGAACTTGAATGTTCTCACTTATAAGCAGGGGTCAACCAACGTGAACACGAGGATACAAAGTAGAATGATGGGCACTGGAGACTCAGAAGGGTGGGATGTGGGGGAGGAGGATGAGAAATCCCAGAATGGGAATCACAGACACCACTCAGGTGACGGCGACAAAGGCAGTCTAGACTTCACCACTCTGCAGTGC